GAACGCACCATTAGATACAACCGCCTTGTAATTAATATTACTGGAAAGAGTAAATACAACGCTGCCGCGTACTACTTTGACATTAAGGCTGAGGTATATACAATCCGTATGAATGGTCGTGACAGAGGTGAAGCGATATGAACAATATTTTTTTCTTTCATTATCGGTAGTCAATAATAAAACAGGTATAAACAGGTAAAATAATTAGGTGTCGCATGTAAAGCAATCTGGGAAACAACGGGGTGTGCAACAGTCGCCATGAGCCCAAAATACTAAACCACCATATGTCATTTCAGCTTAAAGGACCTATTTTATTAGCTATTGACATGATTTGGCACAAATCACAAAATGTTTTGAAGCGGAAAAATAATCGGTGTGCATCGATGTCTGCGTAATCGACATCACAATTCTGTCATTAAATACGCCCACCTTACTTCCATAAAGATATTAATGCCAGAAAACTGAATATGGAATATGAGGCTAACTTAACCGCGGTGACAGGTTCCTAGCAGAGCATGTGAGCGGAGCGGAGCGTGAGCGAGGAGCGGAGCGGGCGGAATTTGGTCAGAGCTCGGAGCGGGTTTTCTAATTAAGGCTGGAGCGGTCGCTTTGTCTCGCTCCAATTTCGCTCCGATACCGTTCACACTACAATTCCGAGGCGTGCCCAAATCTACCCAGAATTCATCTGTACAATTATCAAGACTGTTACACAAATTGGCCGAGATGGAATTCGCAAAGTATTTCACAAAGGAAACTGATAAATCATACAAGTGTACTATTCTTATCAAACGTATAGACTCATGTCGTACGGATCATCCAGGTACGCCGGCATTGTCTTCAGAGAAATTGTAGTGGGAGAGGCGGTGCTCATATAGGGCTGGCTTACGCGGAAACCTCGACTTAACCAAGAACAAAAACTGCTCGGAGCAGTTTTGAGACTTAGCGTAAATTGCCATAGCAACATGTCTCCACTAAAACATACCCACCTTTCGTAGTACGGGTTAATCGCGAAGTTACACCACAGGTCATCAAGTTACTCGCAAAGTTACCCCGATAAGCCAGTTACCCTGCTTCGTAGTACAGACCACGGATTCGCTTGTGGAGATCACGTGTTTCCGTCGCTCTAGTGGAGGCGGAACCCTTCTCCTTAAAGGGGCGCAGACTCTGCTTTGCTTTCCTTTTCTGGTTTGCCCCTAGGGGGAGTAAGGTGTTGATTTCTTTTTAAATACTTATTTTCAAATCACAGTAGAATCTGACATGGGCAGCATGTGGCTCAGTGGGTTAAGCCGCTGTGCTTGTGATCAGGAGGTCGCTGGTTCAAGCCTGACCTTGGCACATCACCCCCACCTACTTGGGTGGCTGCTTGGAAGGAAGCTGGTGGAAGCAAAAGAGAGAATTCCCCCCAGAGAGTAAAAACGCCCTGTGTGACCAGCTTGGAAGGAAGGTGGGGGAAGCAAGAGAGAATCCCCCAGGGAGTAAAAATTTCCCCATAAAGTAAAAAAAAACAACTTTTTTCTGTAATTGGGGCAGTGTCATCTGTCCATCTTGCCGTGTCCATCTGTCCATCTTGCACAGTACACACACTTGCACAGTACACACACCCCTACACTGCACTGCACTGCACCTTGCACTGCAGAGTACACACACACTTGCACTGCACAGTACACACACACACACACACACAACTCCATTTCACCTTACCACAGGAACCCTGGCAGAGACTTGAACCCAGGTCGCAGGGACGGGAGACAGCAGTGCTAACCACTACACCACTGTGCTGGCTCGTTCAGCGTCTCCACCAGCCGCTCTGATCTAATCTAATCAGCGTAACGGCAGAGTGGTCACGTGGGACCCGCACAGCGTCTCCACCAGCCGCTGAGATCTAATCAGCGTAACGGCAGAGTGGTCACGTGGACCCGCTCAGCGTCTCCACCAGCCGCTCTGATCTAATCAGCGAAACGGCAGTGGTCATGGGGGCGAGTCTCTTTGTAAGATTTGTTGAACACAACCTACTGAGTGCCTTTGCTGAGTAAACTGCACGGCACCCCCCTATCAGTGTTGACATTTCTGTTAGATCCTGTTACATGGGTCACTGCTGTCATTCTTTCCAGTGAAATGTAAAGCTTCCTCACAGCGGTGGGACATCAGCACTGAACCCATTCACACCTCTCCATGTTTCTTTTCCGTAAGCCGGCACTTTTCATAATCTGTCGCTTTTATCCTGCCTGTCCTTCAGTTATGGTGAAGATGAAGGTTTAATATTACAGTGGTCCCTCGTTAATCGCGGGAGTTACGTTCTAAAAATAACCCGCAATAGGCGAAATCCGCCTAGTCAGCTTTATTTTTTACAATTATTATAGGTGTTTTAAGGCTGTAAAACACCTCACTACACACGTTATACACTTTTCTCAAACATGCATTAACATTTTCACACTTTTCTCTCGTTTAAACACTCTCAAAGTTCAAACCTTCGTAGAAAAATAAGTCCAGTATTATGTTGGGGAGAAAACTTACAAACATACAGTACAGCACTTCAGAGTCACACTGCTAGCGATCGAAAATTTATGTAAATTTGACAAGCTGAACGCATTCTGTACTGTACAGGAGACACGGCACGGAGGAGATTGATTGACAATGGTCTACAGCCAATCAGGACCCAGATCACAATGCGCTGTTAAAAAAAAGAAAGAAAAAAAAAAACATGCAAAATTGCACCAAAAAAATCCGCAAAACTGCGAGGCCGCGAAAGGTGAACGGCGTTATAGCGAGGGACCACTGTATAAGGTCTATCGTCATATAGACTGCCGGTCTTTTCATACACGCATTCTTTCGCATTTGTCCAGCCCTGCCCCCATACGGTACTAAATAGGCTAAAAAAATGTGTAATAATGTTTCCCAACCCGGTTCTTGGGTTCCCAGCTGTAACCAGTGGTGGAATGTAACAAAGTATTTGTACATTTTTACGTATCTGTACTTTACTTAAGTAAAAATAATAATGCATACTTTTTATTTTAATCCATTACATTTTCTGGCAATTATCTGTACTTTCTACTCCACTACATTTCTACAATTTATGCTGCTAGTCGTTACATTTTATGAACACAATTTCCTCAAAATCTTGCATGAATATATAGTTAGCCAATTGCGTTCTGGCGTTGTTTGCCACTTCCTACCAATCAGGTGGCTTTATTAGCTCCAATGATGGCAGATGTGTTGAATAGTTTTGCAAGTACATAAATGATTTAAAGATATATCATGTCCTGATTGGTTTATCTTAATGGTATATTAGTGGGTAATACCTAGTAGATAACTTGTCATCCACATAATTCTAAGTTAGGGTACACACAGTATTGCAGAGTGCACGCACAATAAGGACACCAAACCTTCCAATACACATATACTGTATAGTTGCTTGTAATTATTACGAGCAATAACATCGGTAGAGGCGTAAGTCAGTATATCTACTATTCTTTTACAAAATGGCACACCCCAGACGTTGAGACAAACCATTGTGTGAGTGCTTTTACTTAAAAAAAATACTTTAAAGTAAATTTAAAAGTAAGTACTTAGTACTTTCACTTAAGATTGTCGATGTAGCACTTCTACTTTTACTTGAGTACATATTTTGCAGGATATTTGTATTTTTACTTAAGTACTTCCTTACAAGCTTCAGTACTTCCTCCACCACTGGCTGTAACACATTTTTGCTACCTCCCAGCTTCCTGCCAGACAGTCCTACTGGGAACTGGATGGGAGCAAAAACATGGATTTTTTGGGGGTCCCTTTAGGGTGGGGCTGGGAAGCACTAATATCACAGGACTAGGAAATAAAAGTAGAAGATGTGACAGCTAAAGGAAGATGTGTGTGTGTCATCGGAGGAATTTTTACAGATAATGCGTGGAACCTTCAAGAATGATGAAACATCGAGTCATGATCTTCTGTCCTAAGCGTCTTTGGCTGTAGTTAGTTACCTCCACAAACACAAAACGCGTAGCTAGGTGGTGCAGCAGGAATCTCAGCCATGGAGAGAAAAGTGTCCGCAGTGACATAAACCATGAGTAAGGTCACAGCTGATTTGTCAACCAGGCAGATTTAAAGGACTGAGGGCAGTTTTTTTTTGCGCCAGGCAAAGAGGGAAATCCCTGCAGGGTGTTTATTTGGAAGGCTTTTGAATACAGTTTTGTATAAACAGGTAGCTTTGCAGGGCATAGCGGCACCTGACCATCGAGAGAGGGAGGATGAAGTTTCGCGTGGATGTTGGAATGTCTCTAAAGTTGACCCGATGCATCGTTAAAACTGGAGGGACTGTATATCTGGGGGTGAGGGGGGGGGGGTGATGGAAAGTAGATGTGGTGGTATGTTCCAGGGCCTCACTGCTGAAGAGCTGGGGACGCGGTGGTGAGGAGGAGATGGGTGGCTCCCCCTGGTGGCAGGACCTGTCCCTCACATGTTGGTGCTCATTTGTGTTTGGCTGTTGGCAGGTGTGAGCTCCGATTGGCCTCCCTCTCTGGGCGGGGACTAGAAGAGAGCAGAGGCAGATTGCAAGGATGAGGGCAGAAACACGGACTCACGCACAAAGAGATGATCATTTGATAGGTGGCTGCTATGACTTCAAGGTGATTTAATGGTCCTGCACTGAGGGGTTTCTCCCCCCCAAAGGAAAGCAGGTAGAATCCTTAATCTACACTTTGATCTATTTCCATCAACTTCATGAAGTACCATTCAAAAGTTTTAATGTTACAGATGAGTCACATGCATGTACTGTGATACTCCAGAACTGCGCAAGAAACTTTCCGCAAGTTTTCATCTGGCTGTCAGGGAAATGCGACCAGGGCCGGTTCTCCTGGCCACCTCACCTTGACGTGAATCTGGTTGCGCAACACGGCGGCGCGCAGGATGGTGGCCTTGGCTCTGCGCTGGAAGTCCTTGCCCATCTGAAGGGACCTGTCAAAGGTCGTGCTTCGCTGGTCCACATCCCTGGCATAGAGGATCTGAGCACAGAGTGTAGAACAATGAAACCGGCTGTTTGCCGTGACACGTCACAGGTAAGCCGGTGCAGGCAGAGCACTGGAAGGAGCCCCACCCAGGATTTGGGAAAAGCAGGATCGGGGGCAGGTCGGGGGGGGTTGGGGGGGGGACAGCCTGCCCAGCAAAAAATGCAGCAATCGAGGGCCTGAATTACGAATCTCCAAAAACGACCTTGCAGTTGTGCTTTAGCTTGAAGGAAGAAACCAGTCACACTCCACACTCACCCATGCTCCTTATAAACTCCCTATACACTATGAAATCTACTTTCCTGATCCTTCTATGTATGAGAATTTACACTCCGAGTGTCTATGTACTTAGTAACACAAATCTGTGGTCCCTGAACTTTCGTTAGGCTGAATTTTTGGGACCATTAAAGGCGGAGTATCCCCGGAACAGAGTGTGTACATATATCTGGAAGAGGTGTAGGGTTGGCCTACAGAGTAGCCTGTGGTCAGTGTGGATCCCGATGCCACGGTGCAGTGACGGGAACATCCATACATCCATCCATCCATCCATCTTCTGCCGCTCACCCGCAGTCGGGTTGCAGGGGCAGCAGCCTTAGCTGAGTCCCCCTGCCTTCGACTGCCACCCGACCCCCACGGCTCCCCCTGCTGGTGGTGGGCCCACAGAAGGGCGGACCCATGTTACCCCTTCGGACTACGCCCGCCCCACGGGTGGAGGCCCGGCTACCAGGCATTCGCTGTCGGGCTCCCCCCCCCTCCTGGCTCCAGACGAGACCCCAGTCTCCCCAATCCGGGTGGGGTAACATGGTCCTTATTGTCAATCATCATTGGGGTCTCTGTGACCCTCACATCATAGCGCCTAGGATCACAGAGGTAGGCAAACCCCGTCACCACCATAAGGACACTGTCGTCCCTTAGATGAAACGTAACACTGAGGTCATAAAGGAGTATGGGTGGTACCCTGGTGTCCTAACCGTATCTAACTGGTGAACTCTCCCCTGGTCCTTCACCGCATTAGTTACTGTATGGTGAGCGTACTGGTGCAGAATGGCGAATCACCCAGGTGGGGGCTACACAGTGGTGGTTGTTCAAGTGGCTCCTCATTAGTTTGGAAAAAAGTGTTTTGTAAATGTAACATTCATTCTTCATTCATTCATCTGCCATAAAACATAGAGAAGGCGTCATTTCCCGGTTCCTCGCCTTGCTGTGGGAGTCGATCCGTGCGTTGATAAGGCCCTCCAGGATCAGCAGGCTCAGCTCGTCCTCCAGGGCCCCAACGCTGCTGTTAAAAGCCAGCGCCATCTTGTTCATGTCCGCCGACACGTAGGGGCTGAAATACTGACACCCGGAGAGCACGTCACCCTCACCATCTGTCCACACGCCAAAGGCATGCTGCTTACACGCGTGTGCCAGCTCACACACCTGTATGAGAGCTCGGTTCCTGATCTGCGTGTACAGTGTCCGTACGTGAGGTGCCAGATACACGTCAAGGAGAAGGTTCTCCTGAAATAAAGAACCACCATTATTCCAGGGCGAAAACCTCTTCCGGAAGGCGCCACAAAGAAACCAGCATGAAAGAGAACTCAGAAAACGCTGACCTGCATAAAAGGTGTTGGTCTGTTGTGCATTTTGTGCGATGGCTCACCTTCATGGCATCCAGCATCTTCAGGCAGCACGCGTACTTCGACTCGTAAAACTTGAAGATTACGTCCCGCACCTGAGGCTCCAGCTCCAAAAATAGCTTGAAGGAGCTGGGAGGAGGAAGCCAAGGCAGTTAACTGCGCAGATCCAGAGGCGTCTGCCGGCCCGGTGACGAACGCGGCCTCTCGCGGGTGTGGGTTAGCACGCTCCTCCAGGAAATGACAGGGAATGCACAAAGCCGCCACTAGAGGCGCTATAAACCATCCTGTGACTTACAGTTACATGTAAGCATCAGATAACATACAGGAGGAAGTGCCCGTATTCTCCTCCGAGGTGCAGGCGAGCACACATGCAGACACACGCAGACACACACAGACACACACGCAGACACACGCAGACACGCAGACACACACGCAGACACACGCGCAGACACACGCGCAGACACACGCGCAGACACACGCGCACACGCAGACACACACGGATACACACGGAGACACACACAGACACACGCAGATACACACTCAGACACACGCACACACGCAGATACACACGCAGACACACGCAGACACACGCAGATACACGCAGATACACGCAGATACACACTCAGACACGCACACACACGCAGATACACGCAGACACACACGCAGACACACGCACACACGCAGACACACGCACGCCACCTGCTGGATATGACGTTGCGCTGCAGCTCCTGTCTGTCGAAAGTGGCCAGTGCGCACATCCCGCCATACGCCGCCACGTTGTTGGGTGACACAAGCTGAATGGAGATGGCAGAAAATTCAAGCCTTTGCTGTAGAGACCCTTTTCACACTCTGAAGGTTTATAATCACACACAAGGCATGATGGGCGGCGGGCCTCACCTCGGGGAAGTCGCAGTGCTCGAAGGAGGCCAGCAGGAAGCACTTGGCAGCTGCTTTGTACTTTCGGGACGCCAGCTCCGCCAGTCCTGGGGGGGGGGGGGTGAGAAGAGCAAAATGACCAAAAACCTGCAGAACAAGCTTACACCACAAGCTAGATGCTAAGGAAGGAATTATGCCCACATTATGCCCACATTATGGCACACACACACAGACGAAGCGCGATATTTCAGGACCGGCAATGCGACATACCTGCGGCACATTTTAATTTAGTTAGGACCACTTGGTTCTGGCCGTCTCGCTCCCCACGTTGCTATAACGACAGACAGGCAAAGCGCACAGTCATTCTCCTCTCTGCTGACCGATGAAAGGAGAACGAGAAAACGGCCTCACCTCTGCTATCTCTGGCGTGGACTCCGCCTTGCTGACGTAGCTGAGAACGTGGGACCAGTTCTGGAGGTAAACACTGACCTGCAGGGGAGGGGTAAGCTGTTGTCCTCTGGTGGATATATACACACACACACACACATACACACACACACACACACACACACACAGACAGCTCATGGCACCTTGATGACGTTCAGACACATGTTGATGACATGCTTGGCACTGGTGCAGTAATCCCTGGCCCGGGAGTAGCACTTCAAGGCGTTGCTGAGGTCACCACAGTCTAAATAATGATCACCCAGGTCATCGTGGCCCCTCCTGGAACAGGACAGGGAAGGAGAGTGAGGCACGGCAGGAAATGGACAGCAGGGGGCAGTGATGGCTATACATTTACAATGTGAGCCGACTGACAAACCTACATATCTAAAATGCATACATGCTAGACCAAGCATTCCCTGCTTGGGATCAATAAAGTTTAACTACCTGAATGAAAGTGGACTACAGAAATAGGCTGTAGAACAGCTGTACGCATGGCCCATTGATGCACTGGATACACTGGGTGTTTGACAAGGCACACATACCTGATGCTCTCTTTGATCGAGTTCCCCTTGTAGTTTTTCAGGTCTGTGTCCAGCTTCTCCAGCTTTAACATAGCTTTCTTCCTGGTGGACTCCACCCACGCTGTGTCAAGGACCGGCGGCTCCACAGCACCCTCTGGTGTCGCGTCCGGCACCCCCTGGCTTTCCCTGAGTATAAGTTCATGCCAGTCAGTAGATAAACATGGCCCAGCACAGGCAGGTGCAGAAAAAAAGCAAGGGGAGAGGCACGCAACCACCACAACCCGCTACCAGAGGGGGACAAATCATGTCCCAAAAGTAAAAATCCAGTCCAGGATCTTGTTTCAACCAACCAGTTGTGTACTCTATGAATGAGCCTCTATATATTGAGCTGGTTGGTTCAAACAAAATCCTGGTTTGGATTTTTACTTTCAGGACCTGAAATGTCCACACGATTCTTGTGCAGATCAGGCTCGATCTTCGGAAGACAGACTCGTACCTGGTGGCTTCCATGAGCTTGCGGTGGACCTCCTCGTAGATGTCGACGTTGAAGGTCCTTTGGATGAAAGACAGGGCCATCTTGAGTGCCTCCACGCGTAGCTGTGGACAGTGGTCTGCGATGAATTGCAGCCGCTCGATCCTCATGAGTCCGGTGTAGCAGGAGGCATACTGCTCCAGATCCTGGAGCAGGGGAAAACGGTGATGGAGCTCGCCCCCTACAGACCAGGTACTTAAACAACAGGGCTGATTATGAACTCATCATAAAAGTTTCAGGGCATTTTATTCTGCAAAAAATCCTTTTGAACACAGACTGCATGATAACAGGAGGGCAGTTCGTACCACAGTCGGATTCTCCACCACATAATTGATATCGGGTGCATTCGGTTGGTCTTCCTGTGGGTCTGCGTCTACTTGCATGGGCTCCACAGCCCTCTGAAACACAGGATGCACGGACAACAGATCTTCAACTCCACTATCACAAGCACAAACATTGTGGCAGCAGGCGATAAGCGGGCACAATGTTCTACGTTACTGACATACTGTGGAAAATGTCGCTCATCAGCATTTTTTGCATAAAACGTTATAGCAGAGCAACAAAATAAGAATCGGTCGTTCTGCTATCTTACATCAAAGGGACGGAACATCATTTATTTTTAATTTTTCAGGATTTTGCACTGAGATAAAAAAATATACATGATCGGCTTTCTACCTGCCTAGCCAATTTTCCTTGTTTGCTGCAACACCGCTTCTCAAATCTAATATCAAATAACACTGCCGATTACGGAAGGAAAATCGCACCCTGCGATCCCGATCCTTCAAGAAAGTAACTTGACAGCACAAGGTAATTTTAAATGAATGGCTCAGAACAGCTTGCCTGCCTGTCAACAGATATTGAGCCACTTCTGGCTGCTGCCAACACATCTAAATAGCAGTTAGTCAACAAGGCGGCCCTCCCATAATAAAGGAAATCGTCCTCGAATGAACAGCACGCATTAACTTAACACAGCTATTACTTGGTGTCGGCACAAACATCGGGAGTCATTGGCCCCAACTAACCGGATACCGAGCTAGCGAAGCAAAGCTAAACTAGCAACCAGCTACTTAGAGTCAGTGAAAACCAGCAAGAAAGCCTCAGATTCAGTGATCATGACAATATTACACTGTCCAGTCTGCCTGTTCTCCCGTGTGGTGATACATTCACGTTTATCAGTACCTGAAAGCTAAAGACCTGCACGGGCAGAGGCATCTCCTCCTCCGCGAAGCAGCTGGGCGGACAAATACATCCGGGTCACGAGGGCGGGTCCTACGTCAGGGTCACGTGGAGGGACGTAACGTTACGTACGATACGCGGCCAGCTGTGCAGTCCGACGTCTTGGTGTTTAATATAAGCAGTATAAAATGTGCACACGCGGCAATTTAGGATGACCAAAGTAAAATGGAGAACCACATTATATTTTCAGTTTTTAGGTTAATTTTTTTTGCGCCGCTTCCTCTCGTCAGTAGTTTTTTTTATGTAGATATTTAGTTTTCTGTGTGCACCTATAGTTGAAATTAGCTAAACATAGATCCTCCAGTGTACGTAAGTAAAAAATTGTGGAAGAAATATCGCAGCGATTTTTATGACATGCCCGTGTGTTGACCACTCAATTAAATAACGATCATAAATCGGTTAGTCGTAAATTCATATTTATTATACAAAATTGAATTTCTCCTCCCACAGTACTCTGACATAAGCAATAAAAAGAACATACATAACATCAAATACACGGAGAAAGAAATGTTAATGGAAAACGCACGTCGACAATCTCCTCAGAAATCGTTCAAATCGTAGCATGTGTACAAAGGTTCAACATACTTCCCATGCAATTTACAGAACGATTTCTCAGTCTTAGATCCCTGAGCTATCTTATGTTGGCAGTCGTCTTTTTCGGTCGCCATTCCGACGAAGCTCACCATCCTGCTGCTCCGCCGCAACTGAAAAACCGCAGTCAGCCAGCAGAGGGAAACAATCGGGTTTCCCCACAATTAATAACTACCATTTTAAACATTTTCAGCAATCAAATAACTTTACACTCGTATGTCTCAGAGTTTTCCTGGCTGAACTCGTTTACGAAACACATACAGCCAACCTAACACAAGGATCATAGTTACATAATTCCAATGCCACAACAGTTCTTTTCCTTTTCAAATCAACACCGTGATTTTATTGATAAATGCATACATTTGAAATTTCGTTATAAACATAAACTGTGAGATTTTATTTTGGCAACAATAGAAAGACGAAAATAAAGTATTAGTAACTCATGCCTTGTTCCATACTTTCAAAGGCTTACAATCATGGACGCAAACAACATAAATCTTGAGGAACCCCAAAATAAATAAGACCGAATGGATTTCCCCGGTCAATCCCATAACACCGTGGAATAAAAAGTTGCTTTTTACGCGGTACTTGCTCTGCACGTCAGGAACTAACCCTGCGGATTTCTTCAATGGCAATTCATTACGACACACTTCGCTGCGGTACGCCTGTAAATTTGTACTCACTGATATAAGTATATATCGACTATATACGAGAATATGAACATGCGGTAATTATTCGTGGGGATTCCTGTCAAAATTTGGACTGCAGCCTTAACAATTCAGAGGCATGTCTTAGGGCTACCGTAAGTTTGGCACCTGTCCATTTGTCATGGGTGCGACTTCTCAAAAGTTCCCAAATACGTATTAATCATCTTCAATAATGAAAAATGTGACTAGCATTTTTCTTTTACGAAAACATCACTGGTTGATTCCTCTGATTCGAGATGTTAAAAGAGGATACGGCAGGATAAGCATTCTTAAGTTACCAGAATTGGAGGAACGAAAAAACACGGGTATTTTCTCCTGTAGCGTCTTAAACCCCCTCCCACTCACATCAAGTTCAGTAGATTTTTTTTTTTTTTGGCCCATTTCGGTAATTTGTTCGAACAGTCACTACCTGGTCCCCCGAGATCTGCATACTGTCAATGGTACCTAGTCACATACTTTACACCAAGGTCCAAAAATGGCTATAATCAATACCATACCATAAAATCATGCCAGGTGAGTTTCTGTAAACATCAAACTCAAAGAAAACATTATTACATCTTTCAAATATCCACAAATCTGTAGACAAAAAAACACCTGATATATGGCTAGATGTGTTGATCTTCATCCCCCCCCCGGCTCTTAAAAACAGAATATGAAGTAGTCAGGTGTGGACGGCATATACATTATACTATTGTCTACCATTTATATTTCAAATGTTGTGAAAAAGGGTCCAGGCTTACACGACGGCACATAAACGTTACGTTTTGGTTAGCTTAGCGTGACTGGAAAGCATCTCTTCTTAGAAAACAGGGCCTTTTCATGGTTGAAATAGATTTTAAGGCAAACTCGGACCCAATTCGGTGACGCCGTCTAATTGGCCAGGTTTGTCCCCGCCCCTTTTGTTGCTAAGCACCCCCCCCTCCCCTGACACACTTGCACACTCACACACACCTCATGAGTAAGACATAGGAACGGCTTGGCTGGACTTCTCCAAGAAAACGACGAGCTCTGGTTGCCATGTAGGTAGAGTGGGGGCGGCGGCGGCGGCGGTACC